GAGAAAATGAAGCAAGCAAAGTTACACAGTGGTAGAGCATGATAGTCAAGAGAAAGAGACAGGTAGGCATTTGTTATTTATATATGAATAATAATTGTTTACGTATGCATCTCTCTTTGATCATCATTATGTATGATATATATAACTGAAGCAAATATTAGTAGACAGTGATAGACGATTATAGTCAGAAGGAATGTATACGTAGGTAGTTGGTTTTTATATATAAGTAATAATTGCTTACGACTGCATTTCTGCTTGATCATGATTCTGTATGATAGGTAAGTTATAACTAAAGGAAGGATTATTTCACCAGTGTACATGATGATAGTCCTTACAAATGTATACGTAAGCAAGTATTGTACATGAATATGTAACGAATGGGTTTCGGCTGATTATGTTGATGACCATCGAATGGCACGGAAGAAATTCAAGCAACGATATATTGTCTGTGGTAGAGGATGATTGTGAATCCAAATGTATAAACTGATATTTGTTATGTATACGTGTATAATACTCACTTACATATACATTTATATGTATCGTCATCGTATGCTGTGATTGAAAGTGAAACAACCATTGTTTCACAGTGATAGACGATGGTCGTCATACAAGTATATAATCAGGCATTTCTTATTTTTTGCATTTACAATAATTGCTTACGTATTACTTAGTTTTGACTCTCGCCATGTGGCATAGAGAAAATGAAATAAATAGAATTTCGCGGGGATAGAGAATGATAGTGAATAGAAAGAAAGTTTTGCACCATCCGTCATCTTTTCTCTCATTGGTTTTTTGTTTTCGTATAGAACTAGATTTGTTTCAAGTAAATATCGATTAAGATCTGCTTCAATGAAGAATATGCATCATTCAATAGAATTAATCAATAATAGAAATGAATAGATTGATAGAATACTAAATGTTTAGATCATTTATATTTTTAGTATTTTATCAATACTTGAAGTGTTGCTCAATTATATTGAAAGATGCATATTCTTGATTGAAACAAACTGTCATCAATTTTACATTTTATCAAAGTATTTCAGGTATTCTTGTAATTAGCATTCATTTGAAATTGAAAATATTCTATATGAAACGAATGATTGGAGGAAGGAGAGGATAGATGCAGGTGAAGACTTTTGCCCATTGATGTATCTATACATAATAAGTATCTGGAAAAGTTGCATGTTCTTAAGTATATTTATGATCTATGTAAGAAAAACTTAAAAATATTTAGTATTAGAAATTTTTTATCAATATGAATATGTTATATATGATCTGACTAATAATAAAATACAATTTATCGTATTAAGTTATTTTTTTGTATTGAGGTGAATTAGATAAAATAATAATTACACATTGTTTTTTGTTTCGATACTCTTCTACGTATATAAATCTACATTATAAAGCATAAAGTCAAGTATTATCATCAAAATGAATGGTAATCATCTATTGATAATAATTATTATTGTTGTTGGTTTTTCATTTACATATTCTGCTGTGATTAATATTCATTCAAAAAATCATTTGAACCATCCAAGTAGGACATGGGATCAAGCTATTGCTATGAGTAAAACCTTTGTTACAAAATTAAGATTAGAAGAAAAATGCAATATGACAGCTGGTATTGGAGGTCGATGTGCTGGTAATATTTTTCCTGTATCACGTCTGAATTTTAAAGGATTATGTTTGCATGATTCACCATCTGGTGTTGGTGGTGTTTTACATTCAACTGCTTTTACACCTGGTATACATATAGCAGCTAGTTGGGATCGAAACTTGTTCTATAAACGTGCTGTTGCAGTAGGTAAAGAGTTTCGAGGTAAAGGAGTGAATGTTATTTTAGGTCCAATGATGAATTTTGATCGAAATGCTCGAAATGGTCGTAATTGGGAAGGATTTGGTGCTGATCCATATCTTGCTGGAGAAAATTCATTTTATTATATTCAAGGTGTACAGGATCAAGGTGTTATTGCAACTGCTAAACATTATATTTGTAATGAACAAGAAACTAATCGTTTTTTTGGTCTAACAGGTTTTCCAAGTGTACCAGATGCAATTAAATCCAAAGGTTATTCAGCTAATGTTGATGATAAGACAATACATGAAATTTATCTTTGGCCATTTGCATCTAGTGTAGCTGCTGGTGTAGGTTCTGTTATGTGTTCATATAATGAAATAAATGGTACACAAGCTTGTCAAAATGATAAAATATTAAATAAAATTTTAAAAGAAGAACTTCAATTTTCTGGTAATGTTGTATCTGATTGGTATGCAACAAGAACTGGTGTAGAATCAGTTTTAGCTGGTTTAGATGTTGATATGCCAGGTGATGATGGATTTTTGGGTTTTTCACTTTTACAAGCTGTTAAAAATGGATTGATTTCAGAAAGAAGAATTGATGATATGATTACTCGAATTGTAACACCTTATTATCTTCTTAAACAAGATGAAAGATATCCATCAATTGATTTAGATCGAGATTTTATGGGAGATCATTATAAGATTAATAGAGAAATTAGTAGTGCAGGCATTATTTTACTTAAAAATAAAAATAATGTTTTACCATTTAATGTTAAGAAAGATAAATATCTTTTTATTTATGGAGCAGCAGCAGGTCAATCTAGTGAAGCTGCTAGCTCAAATATATTTGTAGCTTTTTCAAAACGACCTACAGGTGCATTATATCAAGGTGGAGGTTCAGCTTTTGTTAATCCAACATATGCCATTGATCCTCTTAGTGCACTTTTGATTAAAGGACGAGATTCACATCTTAATATTCATTATATTACTAATCAAAATGATTATAATTCTATTAATGATTCATTCAATTTTCGTGGTTTTGCTAATGCAAAATGTCTTGTTTTCATTAGTGCTTGGTCAACTGAAGGAGCAGATAGAATAAATCTTAATTCTTTTAATAATGGTGATAAACTTGTTCAAACTGTTGCTTCTCATTGTACTAATACAATAGTTATTATTAATAGTGTTTCACAAGTTAATATTGAAGCATGGATTGATCTTCCAAATGTGGTTGGTGTTATCTATTCAGGTATGCCTGGTTCTGAATATGGACCAGCTATTGTTGATGTTCTCTTTGGTAATTATAATCCAGGAGGTAAACTTGTTTTTACATTGGCTAAAAAAGATTCGGATTATGGTACCGATATTAGTGTAACAAAAAATTCTGATTATACTGAAGGTGTTTTCTTAGATTATCGTCATTTTGATAAATATAATATTGTACCTCGATATTATTTTGGATATGGTCTCTCATATACAGCATTTTCATTCTCTCATCTTCATATTTCAAATTGTAAAAGAGAACAATGTATTGTTTCATCACAATATCAACAAAATCGAATCAGACCTTATAATAATATTATTGCTTCAAAAATTTATATGCCTGTCTATGAAATAACATTTACTATTATTAATACTGGTAATTTGTATGGTTCAGAAGTACCTCAACTTTATCTTGGATTTCCAGCTACTGCACAACAACCACCAAAAGTATTACGAGGTTTTGAAAGAGTATATTTAGCATCAGGTGAATCAAAACGTGTAACATTAATATTAACACAAAAAGATATTTCATATTGGAATGTTATTAATCAACATTGGACTGTTGCTCCTGGTATTTATACCATTTGGATTTCAACATCTGCTAATAAGGCTGACATTAAACTTCAAAGTTCATTCCGCATTTAAATCATTATCGCAAAACATTAAATACTCAGTATTTTTTTTTATAAATTTTGAGTATTTTTTTTCTAAACTCTCAATAAAAATTTTCCTCTCAATAAAAAGTTACTCTTTTGTTCAGTATAAAAATTAGTGTTCAGGAACTATCATATTTGCTCGATAAGTTAATAAATTATGGGTGTATGTATAGGTACTACTGTCAGAAAAGTTAAATTCGACAACTCAGAAAAAATCAAAATGAAGAACCAAGTTTCTTTGAAAGTTTTCGGAAATGAAATCGTGAGTAAAAAAAACACTATAACAGTTAAACCATGAAATAGATATAAAATTCTTAAGAGAGCTTCCATGAGCTGATCGAGCATCGCTCCAATATACGAGGCACTCGATAAAATTTATTTTTCGATTTTTTTTTTGCTCATTCAAAACTTCAATGTCTAAAACTACTAACCC